TGGCCTGGGCTTGCAGGGTGGTGGGGACCTGGCTGGCAGCCCCGGCAGCGGCAGCCCCGCCGTCCCTGTCCCCTGCTCCCGGCAGGAGCTGGCAGGAGATCAGATGCTGCTTCAATCCCACGTAGCTTAGGAACAAAGGTGATAAAGCTGCTAAGAAACCTGCTTTTCTGAGGGTTCACCTTGCTTTTTGTTTTTTGTTGTCATGGAGTAGTGTGAGTGTGAGTGTGAGCATACCAAGGCCCACCACCTTGCCAGCCCGGAACGCAGACACATTTGAAGGGAGCAGCTGCACACTGTCCCGGGCATTACCATGGGCCCTGGCGATGCCCAGGCCATGCAGCCCAGGCAGGAGGGGTAAACTGGGGAGCCAGTGCCTGGGCAGAGGCTGGTGGAGCAGAGCGCAGCTGCAGGAAGGAAGCCCTGGGTGCTGAGCACGCGTGCAGGCCCAGAAGCCTGGGTTGGAGGACGTCAGCCACAGCCCCAGAAGAATCACCCCTTCCCAAGGCAGGGAAGGGGCGATCACTGCAGGATCCTCCATGCACGCTTTGCGGCACAGTGCCTGTCTGGGCCAAGCCTATCTAACTCTCCCTGTTCTCTGGGGTGGAGCCAGGGGTGGGAGCCTTCTCAAGGGCACTGGCAGCACACGCGGGCCCTATCTCTGCTCAGGTCTGTGGGCTGCGGGAGCAGGAAGAAAGGCCTGAAGTGGATGTGAACCTGCATCACTAGTCCCGTTTTCAGCTCATCCAATACTTATCAAACCCCTGCCAAGTTCCAGGAGCCTCTAAGCCCTGATTGCAACCCAATGAAAAGGAGAACCTAAACTTTGAGCAAATATCAGCTTTTCTGAGTTTGTCTCCTAGGAAATATGCCAACCGCAGCCATAACCCAAAGAGCCACTGCAGCATTTCCCATACCTGGGGTTCTCCTCTCACTGCAAGGACCTGGAGGGGAAGTGTGACCTCCCCTGCTGCTCCAGGGAAGAAAGGCCTCCCTTCCCAAGGCCAGTGTCTAGGGGGCACCAGAGGCCCAGGCAGCCTGGACGTCTGACTTCGGAGGTCCCTGCTGCCTACCGTGTCCTGCACCTGGAGCAGGTTATTTCCCAGCTCTCAATGAGAGTCGGGGCACATCTGCTGCTCTCACCCTGTCCAGTTTAAAACACTCTAAGGGTTCCTGTTGGTCTTAATATGAAGAACAATAGAGCTGCGAGACTCTATAGGCTCTGTCTTCTACCTTCCCCACCTTTTGATTCTCCTCTTTCCCTCCCACCCTGTTCCAGTCTCTCTGGACCTCACAACCGTCAGCCCCCACCACAGGGTCTTTGCACATTCTGTTCCTGCCACTGGAATAGCCTCCTTTTCTTTTCTTTTTTTTTTATCCTAGTAAGAGTTTAATCTTTTTAAGGAAATAACATTTTTGGAAGAAAATATGGATAAAAATTTATCTTATTCATAGGTGGTACAATTATTTTCAAACAAAACAAAGTCTGGCTTTCAGTTAGCCTGATTTTTTTTTTTTTGGTACCGGGGATTGAACTCAGGTCCTTGTGCTTGCGCAGCAGGCGGTGAAACCACTGAGCTAAATCCCCGGCCCTATAGCCTGATGTTTTCAAGATTCATCTATGTTGTAACATGTATTAGTCTTTTATACCTTTTTATGGCTGAATAGTATTCCACTGTATGGGCACATGCAAACAGAACATCCAATTAGACATCCAATTTGGATTTCCCTAAGGACTAATGTTGAAATCTCATGCATCATTTGTGTATAGTTCATGGCTACTTGTGTGTCTTCTTTGAAGAAGTGTCTGTTCAAATATTTGCTCCTATTTTAATTAGGCTATTTGTCTTTTCATTGTTGTGTAAGAGTTCCTCACAGTCTGTGGATACTGGGTCCTTGCCAAGTATATGGTTGGAGAGTATTTTCTTCCTCTATGGGTTGTCCATTTTTACTTTCAAAGAAACAACTTTTGATTTTATTAATTTTTTCTAATCATTTCCAATGATTTCTGCTGTAATCTTTATTATTTTATTCTTTTTGTTTTGGGTTTAGTTTGCTTTCCCTTTTCTAGTTAAAGGTGGAAAATTGGATTCTTGATTTAAATCTTTTTAAATGTACTCATTACAGCTATAATAAATTTCCCACTGAGCTCTACTTTTCTGTATACTATAAATTTTGATATGTTGCATTTTCATATTCTTCTATCTCAGGTTATTGTAGCCATTCTAGCTCCTTTTGAAAGTTACTGTTTGTATGACATCTTTTTCATTTTCTAATTTCTAACTTACATGTGCCTTTGAATCTAAGGTGGGGTTTCTTCTAAACAGGTATAGTTGGATCACTTAAAAAATTCATTCTGTTCATCTGTGCCTTTTGTATGGAAAATTTAACTCATTTACACTTAATGTAATTACTGAGAAGAAATGACTTATTTCTGCCATTTTGATGTTTTTTGTTTGTTTGAGTCTCTTGCCAGTGCTGGGAATTGAACCCAGGGTCTGCCCTATGCTAGGCAAGTGCTGTACAACTGCCCTAGCTTCTATCTTTTATGTTTCACAATTCCCTTATTGCTTTGATTGCGCTAAATATATACTTCCTAGTGTACCATTTTGATTCATTTCTCTTTACTGTATATATTTTATTTTCTCTATTGCCCTGGGGATTACAATTAACATCTTTTTTTTTTTTTTTTTTTGGTATGAAACCACTGAGCTAAATCCGAAGCCCTACAATTAACATCTTAATTAAAAACATTCTAGGTCGGATAATACCAACTCAATTTCTTCCCCTCCTCCCTTGTCTTGCTTATCATATAAATCACATTCTTTTTTATACATTGTATTCCCATCAACAGACTGAGCTGGGGAGTTTTCTTTTAAATCAAATGGGGAGGAAAAAAGGGTATTATGGCTTGTGTCTAGATATTCCCCCAAAGCCTCCTGTGCTCATAGGTGGGGCTTTTTGGGGGAGGCTGGATCTAGGGCATGTGATAGTGGGATTAAGGGTGTGTGACACTAAATTAGTCCACTGATTGGAATTAGCATAGTTCTGGGTGTGGTGGGATGGATTTACTGAGGACCGAAGCCCCACCCTGGGTGTGGATGGTACCATCCACAAGGCTTGTAGCCTGGATGGGATAAAAGGGAAAGGCAGGCTGCTGCTGCTTGCTGCCTCCTGCCTGCTCTGCCATGGACTGTTTCTCTCTTGATCCCCCTCTGCCCTGCTGCCCTACTTTGAAGCCAGAGGACTATGAACTGAAATATCTACAAACTGTGAGCTAAATAAACCTTTCCTCCTTTAAATGTGAGTGTTGAGTATTTTGTCTCAGCAACAAAAAAAGTAACTAAGACAAAAGGTTATGGATGAAAACTCCATTTTTACTATCCTACATGTACCTGTGTAGGTATCTTGACCAGTACCTCCTATTTCTTCATGTGGATTTGAGTTATTGGACTTACCCAGTAGGAAGCATTGAGGGCAGCTGCCTGGGAGGTGGAGGGGGACAGACAAGGGTGTCCTTGCATCCCTCCCTTGGCATTGGTGGCTGCAGTTGTCTTCCTAGAGCAGCAGCTTCTGTTGGGAAGCCCCTTCCCCCTTTCTGCCAGTCCGTCAGGGCTTCACGACTCTTGGTCATTTTGACTCCAAACACTTCTTCAACAGGCCCTTCCGTGCTCACTCTCTTCTGTCGCCATGCGTTGAGGATTTCATGCCGAAACCTTGGCTGACTGCCAGCCCTGTGACCTCCCTCCCTAGGTGAAGGCCTCAGCCTGGTTTCACGTGGCCTTCTCCTCTGTAGAACTCGCCATGGCCCTAACTGCACACTTACTGGAATGACTATTTGATGAGTGTCTGCTCCTCCTGCTAAACTGTACACCCTGTGAGGGCAGAGAGTATGTCTGTTTTGGCTCACCCTTGCACAATCTTTAAACTTCTAGCAGAGTGACTATCATGTAGTAGATACTTGATACATTTTTATTGAATGCATAGCTAATATTTTTGTCTTTTCTGATACATGGAATTCTTAAAGAGTGTGGGGACAACAGGTACGAAAGGCTTTAAAAAATCACGCCTCCCTGCCCGTCTGCAAAGCTGTAAAGTGGAAGTATGAGAGGATAACACGGGAGCAGGCATACTGAAAACCTGGATCGTTACCTCTGTCACTTTGACTCAGGAGCTTCTCTGGCCTTGAGACTCTGTATCTGTAAAAAGCAGGTATTGGAAGCGGCATCCTCAGGCTCTGCAGACCTTTAAGACCCTCTCTGTCCTAGGCTTGGACTTGGCCAGATTCATCCTTCTCCAAGGCACGATCCACAGCGCCCTCTGGTGGGCCCTGAGTGACGAGACCGGGGGAGCTTATGCTATGGTGCTGCCCTATCCCCACCACTCACCCTGAGGACCTCAAGAGCAGCTGGAAGCATCATCAAAAAACTTGTCGCTTCACTGTGAACTGAGGCTTAGATGGCAGTAGGTCCTGCACAGCCTCTCACTGTGTTTGTACAGAGGTGGGCAAGCTCCTGTTTTTTCTACAACACGGTATTAGACAAACCTAACCTAACAGCATAGAAATGTTTGGTCAGCAAGTCCCTGTGGCTGATGGGTAAGCGTCAGAGCGAGTTAAGCTTTCTCATATTGTGACTCCTGGAACTCCCCCACTCCTGGGTGAGCTTGTGGAACTCTGAGCTCACTCCGTCAGCTCCTCCAACATAGGAACCCCTTCTTGCCTCAGGGCCTTTGTGCTGGCTTTGCTAGGAACTCTCTTCTCCGGGTTCCCTCTTGGTTCAGACCCCTCCTCTTCTGGCTCGCTGATTATTCTGACTTTGACCTCCACCCCAGACTCTAAACTATACTGCTTACCCTATTTGTGCGTGCAATCATCCTGTTGTTTTAGATCAGCCTAGAACAATGGCTGTGGGATTTTGCTCAGTTCCCCGGCAGGGTCTGAGTGCTGAGTAGGTGCACGGGAAGGAAGAGGACGGCGCAAGGCAAGAAGATGCAGAGACCACTTTAGAGAAAGTCTGCAAGTTTACCCGACAGCGATCACAGTCACAGTTACACACAGGAAGTCATTCTTCACAAAGGCTCGCTTTCCCAGGCAGGAGAGAGGGTGGTGGCCTTCGGTTTTCTGCACGCAGTTACTGTCTGAATTCCCCAGGAGCCCTACCTGCAGCCCCCGAGGGGCCTGGCCTTCAAGCCAGTAACAGAGCGGAGGCCTGGCCCTGTCTGCCATTTCAGGAGCAGAGGCTAAGCTGGCCTTGTCTCTTGGTTTGTGGGTCCCCCTCACCCGAGGTGGCAGTGGGCCTCTCGGCTCAAGGTCAAGTCTAAACTAAAATGTTACTCGGGATTTTTACAGAGCATCAACTGAGGGAGAGAAAAGATTCTAGAACAGAACTGCAGTTCCTGCCCTCGTCCAGTCTGTTGGTTCTGGAAATTACAACAGATCACTGGGCATCCCAGTTTTCAATTACTACTGTAAACACTCCTGCTGTTCTTTTGAGACTCGAGAGACTTGAATAATGGAGATGCACAGAGAGAAATCTGAAGCCATTTTCAAGGACAACACCTGTTTCTTAAATTGAAAAAGGCATTCAATAGACAGGAGGTCTGAAGAGAGAATGGAATGTGGACTTTGGAAATCTCCATGCTGCATCTTTAATAAAACTCTTTCTCCCTGGCCTAGCATCGCATCCTTCCCCAGATCTGCCCTGTGGATGTCCCCCTGCTGCCTCAGAGCTGTTTCTTCCCGAAGGGAAGAATCAATGGTTTCTGGACTGTTTTCAAAGTCGAAAGCTCCCAGTGGAGGACAAGACAGAATGCTCCTCACGTACGCATCTGCAAAGCCAGACACCTCCAAAGGCCTGGCATGGACAACACACATTCTTGGCATTAGGGGTGCTTCTGGAGGGCCCTTGGGAAAGGTGGGTCACCTGGCCACCTTACTGTTTAGCCACACTCATTTTGTGACTTCCACCAAATGGAAGTTCTGGAGGAAAAGGAGCCCACGTTCTCACCTGTGACTTGGCCAGTGGTATCTGTACAGGCTCAGCGGGATGTGAGCAGAGACCCGAATCCTTCAGATAGGTGGCTTCCAAAAACGAGGGGTTTAGTATTTGCAATCAGGCAACAGAAGTGAACAATAAAATTCTGTCCTTCCTCTACTACATGGGCAGAGGTCAGGACTTACTGATGAGAGCTCAGCAGTGACAAACAGCCGAGGTCAGTGGACATACCCAACTCTGTTCAGGGTGTGACCGGACCAGAAAGGAGAACCAAAGGCCAGGGAGGAGGAGGCCCTGCACAGGAATCCTGATCTCGCCGAGAACACTGCCAGCCATTTGGAGTGGGGCCACTTGGAAACCTAGCCAGCTCGCTGAACACCCAGATCCAAATGGTGAAGGATGGGTGTGGGGCCTGGAATGGGGAGCCTCAGGCCTGGCCCCAAACAGGGCTCACAGAGGCAACACACAGCTTCCCCTCGGCTGCCAAGGCCCTTCCAGGCCATGGACTGGAGCTGCTGCTGAGTCGCCCTTCTGTTTGAAGTATTCCTGCCCCAATGGGGACCACTCTGGCTTCTGCCCTTGGGGCCACTCAATCTCAGACCTCGGTCTAGGTCCCACATCTCCTGCTTGCAGTCAGACACTGAGGAAGGCACCCACCCAACAGGAACTGCACACACCACCAAAACACCCCCTTGCCACCCTCCCCTGTACAGTTGTCTAGCAAGGCACTAGGAAATGGTTCAAGTTTAGGGATTTGCTGTACATTTGCATTTTTTTCTTTTTTTAAAAGGCACAGTTTTTACTTTAATGATGCTGCTGCATTGCTCTCTGATGATGCAGGTCCCCAAATTGCAGTGCTCTGGTGATCCTCATTCTAGAATCTAGAAGGAGCCTCGCTTTGGAGTCTTTTCCATAGGGACCACTTCTAGAGATATGGCACTCATTTGGGAAAAGGCAGGAGGGCTCGACAAGCAAACTTGTCAGGCGCAAGGGCCGCAGTGGAAGTGGTCCTTCGCCTGCTACATGTCAGTCTGGGGCGAGGGATGGCTCTGAGGTCAGCCAGCATCTCCGAGGCAGATTCGTGGCTCGATCCAAGATTTATGTCTCAGCTACTTAACAGTTGAGGATACAGCCAAGTGACCCAACTCTAATTGGGATACTGATTTCAAGTACTTTCTGGGCCAGCTGGTGGAAGCTATAGTTATGGAATGCAATTTTCACTTATGAATCAGTGGGTGGCAGGTTGTTACAGAACCCTCTGGAAGTCTGATGTGCAGTTACACAGTGACAGGTAAACGTGAAGGGCTGGTGTGGAGCTGAGTGTACATCTGGTCATGGGACATGGGGTTCTCCACTCAGATGCGGCTCCGGGGCCCTGGTCTTTGCTGAGACCGTGGTACTGTGATGGACCAGGTCCCGCACTCCCTCTTCCTATGCCTCTGACCTTGGGGTTCAGGGTCTCGAGGCCTGGGGCTGCCTTGGCTGCATCACACCCGGCTGCAACTTGGATCACAGCATTCTAGAAGTCCACACCTGATGCTAGAGTACAGAATCCTGTGGAACATTCTAGTGTGGGGTGGAATCCGAGTTCTTGGGAAATGCTAGAGGTCTGTGAGAACTCAAACCATGCTGAAGCCAGAGGCTTGGTGTCCTGCCCATAGTCCGTTGCGGAGGTCTCCAGCCCCTGGGAGCGGGGCACCTCGTGGCACCCCTGCCCCCATCTTGAGGCAGAGAGTTGCCTCGGAGAAAAGGAGACGGAAGCATGGATAGGGGAATTCAGACAGCACATCTGGCTTGGTGGCCTACTTGGCCTTTCCACGGGCTCAAGGCCACTAAATTATCCCCCAAAGCTGGTGGCTGACTGACCTTGTGTCTGGAGAGCACTGGGATGGGCATTTCAAGTACCCAGGGAGCCCGAGGGGACTCCTGCATGTCCACGGCTGCAGAGGAAGGTCTGGGGCAGCTGGCCAGCATTCAGGTTTGAACTCTGAGGGCTCCAGGTGTGGCCTTAAACCAAAGTCCTGGGACTGAGACAGCAGAAGCTGGGCACTAGTGACAGCCACCCCCACTCAGGCAGGGACCAGAAGGCCCAAGGAGGATTTCTCTTCCTTCTGCCCCAGGTGGTGGCACTGGTGCTAGATGCTGCCCCTGTCAGGCTGTCATGTGGGACAGCCACCTCAGGGCCAGGCAGCTTTGCTGGACTCATTTTTGGGTGGTCTAGGGCTTCCCTGGAATCTCCCACATACTGCTCAAGGGGGCAGGGTGACAGAGTTGAAAAAGTCTTCCTGCTTTGCTGTGACACCCGCAAGAATTAGGGCAGGCTCTGCCTTCTTGCGGGGCCTTCTGTGGGTTCTGCTTCACCCACCCCCGGCTCAGGGCTGTGGGAACAGGCAGACCCCTGCTCAGCCTTGACAGCCCCTTTGGCCCTCCGCCCTCTGGCCAGCACCTTGGACACCATGGCGCCCACAGGGGCCCGGCCTCCCGGGGAGATCGAGGCTGCAGTGAGTGCCAGAGAGGCCCTGCTGGGCCTGCCAGGGGACTCGAGCATCAGTTCCAGTTGAACTTTGCCAAGACCGTTGAGTTGGTGTGTTCAAACAGCCACTGCTGGGTGAGGGAGGCCGGGTTGCAGGTGTTCATGAAGATCCGGTGGTCACTTTCACTGCAGTCCACACAGCTGCCACTCACAGGGTGGTACAAGGTCTTGTCCTACAAAACACGGAGGACATCAGCCAGGAGGTGCCAGGGACAGGAACAAACAGCAGCAACAGTAACAGCGATGAGGAAGCAAGGAGGCCACTGGACAGGGCTCCCGGAACTCCCGGGCTTCCTCCTGGGCACAGCCAGGTGCGGCCCGGCCTCCCCAGAGGTGGGCATTGCCCTGTGACTGCTCTGCCTACTGGGCGTGGGCAGAGGTGATGGACGCCACTTCCAGGCTGGGCCCTGTACAATGCCTGGCTCCAGCCAAATTTCATTGGTCCTCAGGGTATACTTTTGCTTTCCATTGAAATGGACTCAGTTGCCAACATTTGAGATTTCACATAAAATGTGAATTTCTGGCTCCTCTTGAGCAGCAGGAAAATCGGGCGTTGAGGTTTGGGGAGTAAACGAATGAGGGGGAGGACTCTGCAGGGAGAAGCTATGAGGCAATACACTGTTTTTTGAAAAAAATCTGAGCCGGGAATGTAGTTCAGCGGCAGAGCACTTGCCCTGGGTTTGACTCCCAGCACTACAAAAACAAACACTCAAACAACAAAACAAGACACACCCTGAAACAAAACACAAAGCCATGCGCAGGTGGCCCTGTCCCGCACGCCTGGAATGACTCACTCACTTTGCGGTATTTCCACAGCTGGTTGCCCTTCATGCTGTGGCAGTCATACAGGGTGACGGGACTGGTGTGGGAGATGGCGTCAAAGCAGAACTTCTTGGTGTGCTGAGGGTCGCCCGGCCGGATGTCCTCGCGCCAGGTGAAGGTGAACACCTGGGCACACAGGGACAGCAGGAGAACGGCAGCAAGGCCCTGTTTGTTCTCCGTTTTATCTTAGGGTTATGGAAACAGTCAAACACAGAGTCTGTGGGCCACACCTCCTGTCTCAGCCCCAACTCCTGGCCAGGCTCGCCACCCCCACCCCCCCGCCATTCTGAAGCAAACTGCAGACCGCATGCCATGCCAGGTCCAAACACTTCAGCAAGCGGCTCAGTGGAAAGCTATGGCCAAGTCCTCAAGGCCTCAGGCGACCAGAGCTCCAGGGCTGTCAGACTGCCTTGCCAACTTCTGTTCACGCTCTGGCTCAGAGTCCACACTGCGACCATGTACTGCTTTTGGTTGGCAAACGTTTTTGTTCCTCCTTCCCAGAAGCTTTATTGAGGAATAACAAGCATACAACAAGCTGCACACGTTCGAGGTGTACAGTGTGACATACGTGACGGTTAAAGTGGACTGTCGACCTGCTTGGCTTGGGAGCTGCTCAGAGGATTAATGCAGCACATTTCTGGCGTGTCTGCGAGGGCCATGGAGGTGTGAGAGCAGGTGCTATATCTGCTCCCTGGCCCCTTCCTCTCTGGCACCGTTCCCCTGCTCTGCTTCCCAGCTGCCATGAAGTAAGAAGCTTTATTCCACCATGCCCTTCTGCCATGATGTTTCTGCCTTGGAGTCAGCTGACCGTGAACTGAATCCCCTGAACCCATGAGTAAGTTAAGCTTCTCCATTAAGTGGTGCTGTTGAGTGCTGTGCCTCAGCAATGGAAAAACTGACCAATATGTTTATACTTGAGACCAGCATCCCAATCAAGGCAGTGAACACATCCATCACCCTCAAAGTGTCTTCATGCTCCTGGTACTGTTTTCCTCCCTCCCTACCATGTCCTGAGGCAACTACTGATCTGCTTTCTGTTACTAGAGATTCATTTGCAGTTTCTAGAATTTTATATAAAAGGAGTCATACAGTATGCATATTCTTTTGTCTTCTTTCTTTCACTCAATCTACTTTCACTGCAATCATCCATGTTGTAGTGGCACTTATCAATAGCCCACTCCTTTTTACTGCTGAGCAATATTTCACTCATGATGCTCCACTTACCTGTTTTTTGACATCTGGCTTGTTTCCAGTTTTGGGCTATGTACAAAGTAAACTGCTACACACAGTGGTGTACAACTCTTTGCAGGGGCATGCTTTCTTTTCTCGTGGGTAAATATCCAGGGGTAGAATGGCTGACTCACGTAATAGATCACTGTTTAATTTTCTAAGAAACCACCAAACTGTATCTCAAGGTGGCTGTCACGTTGGCTTTCCCAGTGGCAGGGTACAGTTCCTTCCGGCTCATCCGCACCCTGGCCAGCTTTGAGTCTGGTCAGTCTTTATAACAGGCGTGTGGTTATGTCACTGTAATTTTCATTTCTATTTTTCTAATAACTAAAGAAGCTAAGCATTTTAATATGTTTATTTGCCATCCCTTCTTTGGCAATGTATCTGTACCAACCTTTTGACCATTTTTTCTGTCATTATTGATTTTTGAGAATTTTTATATATTCTAGAAACAAATCTTTTATTTCTTTTGAAACAAATCTTTTATCTTTACAAACATTTTCTCCCAGTCTGTGGCTTGCCTTTTTATTTTATTATCAACAGTATTTTAAGGAATTGTTTTCATGTTGAGGAAGTCCAGCTCAATTATTTCTTTTGTTTTGCTGTTTTGGTGTTGTGTCTAAGAAATTATTGTTTCATTCAAGGCCATAAATCCCTTTGCTTGTATTTTCTTCTAAGAGCTTTTTATTTTAAAAATTTTTAATGCATCTAATTTTATTTTTAATATTATGTAAAGGTACATTTTAGATGTGCACATTGATAACGTTCATCATAGGGAATTTGTACCTGTACCTGATCTATCTTGCTTCTCCTTTTTTTCTCATTCCCCTCCCCTCCTTCAACCCCTCTTCCCTTCATTTTACAAAAGCTTTGTTTCCATTTTTTCCTTCTGTTCTCTTTTCCTTTTCCCTTCCTTTCTCCTCCCTCCTTCCTAGTTCCCTTTCTAAGAGCTTTTATGTGTAGGACAATGACCCCTTTTGAGTTAACTTTTGTATATGGTGTAGCTATATATTGATTTCCTTTTTGCATATGGGTATCCAATTTTTCCAGCACCATTTGTTAAAAAGACTGTCTGTTCTCCATTGTACACCCTTTATGCCTGTGTAAAAAACAATCAGTTGTCCTTATAAGTGTGGGTCTTCTTCTATGCTTTATTTTATTCCCTTGATTTTTTTTTTTTTTTTTATACCAGGGATCGAACTCAGGACCTTGTGCTTGCCAGGCAGGCGCTGGAACCACTGAGCTGAATCCCCAGCCCTCCATTGATTTTTTTGTTGTTGTTGTTGGTATCACTCCATCCTGACGTCTTCTGCATTATAATATAACTTGAACACCTTGTATTGCCTTTTGAAAGTTGTTTTGGCTCTTCGAGGCCCTGCTCATTTCCCATGAATTTTAGAGTCAGTTTTTCAGTTTTATAAAGAAGCTTGCTAGGATATGAGAATTGTGTTGAATTTATATATTGGTTTGGAAATAACTGATATCAGTGTTGAGTCTTCCTATGAACATGGTATATATCTTCATTTATTTAGACCTCCTTTAATTTTCAAAGTACAGGACTTTCACATCATTATATACCTGAGTATTTAATATTTGTATGTTATGGAAAATGCTTGTTTTTAATTTTAATTTCAGATTCATTACTCTTAGTATATAAAAATATGATTGACTCTTGTATCTTTTTTTGGTACCAGGGATCAAACTCAGGACCTGGGGCTTGCCAGGCAGGCGCTGTGCCACTGAGCTACATACCTAGTCCTGATTTTTGTATCTTGTAACTTTGTTAGATTTCGTTATTAGTTCTAGAAGCTCCTCTGTAGGTTCAATAGAATTTTCTTCATCCAGGCTCATACAGTCTATAAATACAGATTTCCTTCTCCCTTTTCCATTTGGATGTGTTTATTTTCCTTTTCTTGTTGAATAGGTTTGAAACTGCTAATAGAGTATGAAACCAAAATGATGAGATCAGGCATCCCTTTCTGAGGAGAAAGCATTCAGACTTTCACCACTAAGCATGATGTTAGTGATGTGCTTTTCAGATCAAGCTGAGGAAGTTCCTCTCTGTTCCTTGTTTGCCAGGAATGGATGTTAGATTTTTTTCAAATATTTTTTCTGGGTGTATTGAGATGTTACTGTTTTTTTTTTTTTTTTAGTTTGTTAATATGGTGAATAATATGCATTTCTGGGACAAATTACACTTAGTCACCATGTATTACCTTTTATGCTGTCAACTATGATGTTCTAACATTTTCTCCAGAATTTTTTAATCTATGTGGATTAAATGTCAGTATATGGTTGGTCTTATGTCTTAGTCTGCTTTTGGTTCTAAGGTAATGCTGGTCTCACAAAACGAGCTGGCAAGTATTCCTGCCTTTTCTGGAAGAATTTTTTTTAGGATTGGTCAAGTCTCTAAGTGTTTGGTAGATTCTTTAGTGAAGTCATGCAGGCCTGGCGTTAGCTCAGAAGCCCTCCTCCTGTCTAGCTCTCCCGCATGTATCTTGCTGGTTACAGCCTCAGGGTCTCCCGAACACCCAGCTTCATCCCCTCCCCAGGGAGCTGGCATGGTGCAGCCCCTTCTCTCTCCCTGATCTGGGGCTGAGATCTCCCTGAGTGAAGGAAGGTGGCTCAACAATGGCTGGGTTCTCATCTCTCAAAGATTTTCACTGGCTGATGTTCCACCCTCTTAAAAACCACTGTTCACACTTTGGTTGTTTCCTGCAGGAGGGTAAATTCAGCCTCCAATCCTCCATTTTGGCTGGAGGCAGACAGCATGGTGGTGGTGGAGGGGGGGTTGCCCCCCACTGCCTCCTGAACACGTGTTTCCTGGGCGCCTCGGCACAGGGCTGTCTCCCAAATGCACCTTCTCCCTTCACAGGCTCTCTAGTGTGCCGTTCAGGGTGTTGGGGTTCCCAGGAGCCAGAGCTCCCAATGGGGTCAAGGCTGCCATGCTTCCCACCCCAGAAGGTGAAGGCGGGCACAGCTGCACCCCCAGGTGCCCTCCTGCTGCTTGTCTGAGGGGTCCTCAGGCACTGACACGGGCACTGCTGCACACGCTCATGCTCCCCCAGGTCTCTTCTGGAGCCCTAGGTGGGTGGGAGCAGGGACAGCCACACCCTGCACTGGTGAACTCAGAAGGCTTAGTCAGGGGGGTCGCCATCTACTAAGAACTGCTGTCAAGAAAGCACCATCTGGGCTGGGGATTTAGCTCAGTGGTTCCACCACCTGCCTTGCAAGTGCAAGGTCCTCGATACCAAAAGAAAGAAACAAAGAAAGAAAGCACCATCAGGCTGCCGTGTGCGGAGAGTCAGGGTTTGGGGATGTCCCCACCCCTGGAACCCATGGGTCGGAAACATCATCCCCAGAGTCGTGTTAATGATGTTTGGAGGCAGAGCGTTTGGGAGATAATCAGGGTTAGAGGAGGGCATGAGGGTTGGGCCCCTAGCACTGTATTAGTGACTTTATAAGAGGAGGAAGAGACCCAAGTTAGCAATCATGCTTTCTTGCTGAGTGGTGCCCCCCGTGACATTGTGACCTGGCCCAAGGCCCTCCCCAGGAGCTGGGGATGCCAGCACCATGCTCTAGGACCTCCGGAACTGTGCGAACCGTGAGCTAAAGCAACCTCTCTCCTGGCCTGTGGTGTTCAGTGACAGCAACAGCAAACAGACAAAGACAGAGGTGTTGCTGTTCTTGGCGTGTGCACTCTACAACCTTTTCTTGTGAGTCCTGTTGGGGCAGTGGACCCCAAGAATAGCTTTACATTGCTTTAAACTTCCAAAATGCCAGAAAATCCACAGTAAAGCCATTTAAAAATAATCTCCTCAGGTTCAGAATTAGTGAATGCTGAGTTATTTAGCAGAGGAGGGGACCACAGAGAGCTGAAAGGCAGTTCCTGAAGAGGTGGGCCCTCCCGCCAGACCGGCTGACCTTAGACATCCAACCTCCCCTTCTCTCCTCCCTGTCCTTCCAGGGCTGCCCCCAGGGATTTCAGTCATTGTCACTCCTTTCCGAGGGTTCTGAAGCTCTGGGGACCCAGCCCTGGCTGAGACTCTCGCCCATTGCTGAGCGTGGCCTCTCCCTCTGGCCGATTGTGTGAGCGCTGCCGGCCACGCACAGTGCTCCCGTCCCCTTACCTGCATGTTGTTCCAGGCAGCCTCCCCACGGCCCCGGATGCAGCTCTCCAGCCTGAGTGGGGCACCCAGCGCACCATGCTTTGTGTCCGCACACAAGCCTGTGCCCACATTGCGGATCTGTGAGGAAGAGGGAAGGGGTGGGCATGAGGTGCCTTGACGTTCGCAGGGGAAGCCACGCAGCAGGGGAGGAGGAGGAGGAGGTAATGCGGGGCCCACTCCTGCGAACTGGAGCCAATAGACCCAGGATTCAAATGTGACCCTCATTCCAGATGACCCAGGTGTAGGTGGTCCGGGACCATACCTTGGAAACCGCTAGAAAAGGACATAAGGCCTCTTTGCTGGAGGGCCCTTTCGGTTTTGTTCTTTAGGGACAGGGTCTCGCTCCATAGCCCAGGCTGCCCTCAGATCCCCATCCGGTCTGTCTCCCGGGTGCTGTGATCACAGGCCTGCCGCTCCACGTCTGGCTTTGCCATGGCCCTGGACTCTTGGCTGCTAGGGCAAGGGCATGACAAAGGGTGGCCGGAGCCCAGCCGCTCCCGTGCGCTAAGGAACAGCAGTGGTCCACGTCCCTCAGTGTCAGCAGGAGGGGCTGGGAGTTGGGAGCCCAGGCTGGCCACTTGCTTGGGCAAAGACCGTGCTCAGGCGCTTAGGGTGGCGTCTCAGCAATAGGAGCGGCCATGGTGGCAGGGGTGGAGGCTACGCATGGGCTCAGCAGCACGGGCTCCCACTCGCCGAGGCTGGTCCGGCTGCAGCATGGCTGGATGCCCACCCACTATGCCAGCAGCTGAGACCAACACCGAGTCCTGATGTGGCACCACTCCCTGGGGGATCAGCCTGAGCCCTGGTGGCAGGTCGATTACACTGCACCACTTCCATCATGGAAGGGACTGTGCTCTGTCCTCACTGGCACAGACGCGTATTCGGGATATGCATTTGCTTTCCCTGCAGCTAATGGGCCTGCCAAACTACCATCCTTGGACTCACAGAAGGCCTTATCCACCATCCCGGAATTCCACACAGCATTGCTGCCAACCTAGGAACATGTTTGACGGCCAAAGGAGTGAGGCGATGGGCGCATGCTTATTGAATTACTGGTCTTACCGTGTTCTTCACCATCTGGAAGCAGCTGGATTGACAGAAAGGTGGAATGGTCTTTTGAAGACACAGTTATAGCGCCAGCTAGGTGGCAGTAGCTTACAGGGTTGGGAGAAGGTTCTTCAGAAGGCTGTATATGCTTTGGATCAGCATCTACTATATGGTACTGTGTCTCCTATAGGCAGGATTCACGGGTCCAGGAATCAAGGGGTGGAAGTGGGAATGGTACCACTCATCATTACCCACAGTGATCCACTAGCAAAATGTTTGCTTCCTGTTCCTGTGACCTCATGCTCTTCTGGCTTAGAAGTCTTACTTCCAGAAAGGGGAGGACTTATACCAGGAAGCACAACAATACCACCAAACTGGAAGCGAAGACTTTTCCCTGGTCTGTTTGGTCTCCTCGTGCCTCTGAGGAAATAAGCTAAAAAGGGAATCACAGTATTGTCGGGGTGATTGACCAAGACTATCAAGGGGAAATTGGACTACCATTTTGGAGTGGAGGAAAGGAAGAGTATACTTGCAATACAGGAGATCACTTAGGGCGCCTCCTAGTGTTACCAACTGGGAAACTACAACAACCCAATCCATGCAGGATGACAAAGGGCCCAGAACTTTCAGGAATGAAGGTGTGGGTCACACCACCAGGGAAAGAACCAAGACCTGCTGAAGTGCTTGCTGAAGGCCAAGGGAATACAGAATGGGTAGTAGAAGAAGGTAGTTCTAAATACCAGCTGTGACCCTGAGATCAGCTACAGAAATGAAGATAGTAACTGTATGAGTGTTCTCCTAATATGATTCTAATGTAATATAATGTTGGTAGACTTGTTATTGGTTCTTAAGGATCGTTCAACTTATGTTATGATGTCTGAGTTACGAAATGTTAAGAGTAACCATTCCCAATCGATAATGTAAAATAGGAAGAAAAGGTCCAAAGGGGTAGGGGTAGTGGGAGGGGCAGGGGAAAGGAAAGAAGGGAAAGGAAAAATGATGAGCAATGGAAAAAATGGAAATAAAGTCTTTGTAAATAGGGAAGGGTGGAGGGCGTGAAGGGAGGGCTAGGAATGGGGAAAAAATAAAAACCAAGATGCATCATGTAAAGGTACAATTCCCTATGAGAAATGTAATTGTGTTTATACCTACAATGTACCAATAAAAGAATTTAATACAAAAAAAAAAAAAGAGTAACCATTCCCCAAAGAAACCTTGTCTTCCGTTCCGGGGAGCGAATCAGTGTGTTTCCATCTGTACGCAGGATAGCTGTAACATGCTAGGTGTAATTAGGAGCCTGTCTTTGTAGGTGGACACTGGCTTAAAGAAATGTGTCTCATTGTCAAGTTGCCAAGGGGTGGACTGTGATGGTTGGTTGATTGTGGCAACTTGAGTAAGAGAAGATCAACTAACTTGGCTCAGCAACTCCACACCCTAGGGTACGGCAGGCCCACCCTAGGGCAGCTTGTTGCCTGCATGGTATAAGGGGAAATGAAGAACACAGATCTGCCTGTTTCTTCGGAGGAGCTCCAGTCTTCACCTTCGCCTAGGACGTCATCCCCTGGCTTTCAGCATAGACTGGTCAGCCTCCCATCGCAGGCCTGTCGGCCTCCTGATACGGACTCTCACGGGACACTGCAGTGAGCGCCAGGCCTTCGACTGGATCCTTCAGTCCCCAGTGCCCAGACCCTCTGCTCTCCTCACCTGGCTCTGTGGGCGGGCATTCTAAGCCAGTCTTGTAAATTCCTATGTGTCTGTACATCTTGTGTTCCAGCTGCTTCCTGAGGAAGCACTGACTGATGCAGGCAGGCAGGCCACTGTGCCAGGCCCTGCGTTGCGCCACGTCATTCCTGCTGTCCCACCTGCTCCCAGCCGTGCTTCTGAGGTGGGGACAACACCGCAGCCCTGTTCAGGGGGTGCTGAATGCTGCACTCCGAGGGGTGACTTGGTTGGAGGTGCCTCATTCATCCACCTCAGACTCCTTAGAGCTTCGACCTGCTCTGAGGCTCTTCCACCCCGCCCACCCTCTTCCCGGAGGCGGGGCCAGCACCACAGGCTCAGGTCCTCCCAGTCAGCCCCACATGTCCTCTTGTGAATCTCCCAGTCTCATCCCGTGTGACATCTGCCTCCTGGAAGCTCGGAGCTGATGGGAAGACTGACTCGTCAGTTAAAGAGCCCGATGGTGAGGGGCAGCGTGGCCCCTGGCTCAGGAAGGGTGACTAATGTGCTGTGATTTGAGGGACCCCCCCACTCCCCGGCTTCTGCCAGCCAGGACCGCCCCTGCCTCCCTGGTGACAGCACTGGCTTTCCTGTGTTTCAGGCCCTCCTCCTGGCAGCCAGCGCCCTGTCCAGCCCGCTCCCCTGCCCCTCGTGCACCCCCTGTCTCGGGGGACAGCTGCCTCCAGCAGGGGGCCAAATAAAAGGAAGCCAAGTTAGGGAGCAGAAAGGAGACCGACACCACCAGGGCCCCGGGCCCGGGTTGTCTGAAGCCGCGGCGAAGTTCCTATGGGAGCCAATGAACTCCTCATTAAACTGGGCTCTGGGAGGGACCCAGCTCTCCTGCTCCCCCTTCAGGCCACATTCCCAATGACGCACTAGCCTGAGTCCCTGGGTTCACGGTCGTGAGGGAGCACCTCCACCTGGTATCTGCTGGGCTGCGACAGGTACCACATACAGGTACACAGGGCCTGTGTTGGGGACAGCCTGTGCTTCCTTTGAAGTCTGCCATGGTTTTACTATTATTATTTGAACCAGGGTCTCATTGTGTAGTCCAGGCTGGATTAAAATTTGAGATCCCCCTGCCTCGGCCTCCTGTGTTGGGATTATAGGTATACCTCACTATGTCTGACTTTGAAGTTCTTGATCATTTTATCTTTGATCTGTTTTGTCAATGAAACCCAAGGGGACACCAGGGCATGCACACGAGCAGGGGAGACCTGTGTATAAGAACTCGCTGCCTCTTGCTACCCTGTGTGCATTAAGAGTTTGTGATGCCCACAAGTGCAGAACTGTGGGGATTGGATGGACACGGACTCAGCAGGACGCGAGGTGGGTATGGGCCAGTGCCTGAAGTCTGTGGCTGAGGAAGAGGGGCGCTGGCAGGGTCCAGAGGCCACCCTGACCTCACACCGGAACTCGCCTCAAACTGTCCTTGCTCATCTGGTGGCAGAAGGCAGAGCGCTTTTATCACCAAGCAGTGAGACAAAGCCCCCCGAGCAGTCTGCTGTGCTGCTTTGCTGGTAAGAACCACACCAGCCTCCAGCCTCGGTGTCACTCACTCCAAACACCAGTTACGTGCTTCCTGTACCCCTACTACCGACAGTGCTGGGGACTGAACCTAGGGGCTGTGCCACTAACTACATCCCCACCCCTGTTAATTTTTTGTTTTGAGACAGGGTCTTGCTAAGGTGCTAAGTGCCCCAGGTGGAACTCAAACTCCCTACCCTCCTGCCTCAGCCTCCTTCTGCCCTGGGATCGCAGGCATGTTATCTCTGTCCTTGGTAAAGTAAATTTGCATTTAAAACTGGCACTGTGGGCTCCAGTGGCAGAGCATGTGCTTGGCATGCATGAGGCCCTGGGTCTGATCCTCAGCACTGCAAAACAAAAACAAAAAACAACCGAAAGCCCAACCACCACAATACCTGGCACTACATAACATAAAGATGAAAAGTGAATTCCACACTAATAAAGTTGTAATATTTCTCTATGCAGAATATTAAATGGCAAAGTTAAAAAAACCCCACAAACCTAGCAGGAGGAGGCTAAAGAGAAAACAGGAAGGCAGAGAACGTTTTATATTCAGACCTCCCTGGGGCTCCCGTGTTGAGAGCCAGCCCGGCCTCCACACTCACCTCGCCCCACGCGGCAGCTGGTGGCTCCACTGGCGGGTAGAACTTGGGCAGATCCCAGGCAATCTTGGTCATGAACCACTTGAAACTCCTGCAGTTCAGGGAGCTGCGGAGCTTTTTCTGGGCTGCCACATCCCCAGCCGAGAGGTGGCGGTACTCGGGCCGGCGCTGGTAAATGTACTCGGCATACTCGTCCATCCACACCTCCGCCACGCGCTTCAGGTTCTGGGGGCAGGAGGTAGGCGGAAGGAAGGGTCAGGTGGCTGAGGTGTCCAGGCCTGGCATGGGCGCAAGGTGTCCTGGGGGAGGGTCAACGTGTCTTACTTACCTGAGGTCCTACTGGTCCCCCCACATTTCAGGCTCTCCACAGTCATGGCCACATCATGACAGTGGCTCAGTGACAGCCACAGACGTGAAGGTGCCCCATGGATCACACTGGGCAGTGACAGTGTGGCCAGCCATGTGAGGCACTCTGCCATATGAGAGCCGATGATGCATTTGCAGAGCCCGACCCTGTCAAGTGGGTGTGACTTTCTATTTACTATTTATGCAGGTTTTAAGGATTTCAGGACTCATGGCTGGATAAGGAACTGCTCTTGTTTTGCCTGCCCGTCTTTCATGCCCTCTTCTAGTGATGCCCCCAGCAGTTTTCCTTTGGGGAACGCCTCCTGTCTGGCAGTTCATGTAGCCAAAGGAAAGGCACTAGATCCTGCCTAGGCAGTGTGAATATAGACACCCCTGGGTTCAGGGATCGATAACAATGACCTATTCCATGCCAATCAGCTGATTATTGAGAGAATTGCTCTGTGTCTGCTTGGATTGCTGGGTAAGATCCACAGCTTATGTCAGCCATGGCTGCTGGGCTGCATGGCAATCACATGATGCAAACCCATTCAAGGATGAAATCAACCTCAGAGTGAGTAAGGCTGAGGTTGAGGACTAGATTGAAGAACTCGGTCCCATAGACCTGGATCCAGCCATACCTGAGGCCAGTACTACCAAAGGACTTTCCAATTAAATGAGCCATTACATTCCCTTTTTGATGAAGGCAATTTGAGTTGGGTTTCTGTCATTTTCAGCTAAGAGGATTCTGACCAAGTTACATGGTAAAACTAAATTATCTTTTGTACCCAAAAGGTATAATTCCATCAGCAGCTGGAATCTCATAACTATTTCACGTTCGAAGGTTGTTGCGACTTTTATCACTAGGCACAAGGATAACCAATAAAAAAATGACAACACTGATATTGGTAAATTGAGACAGCAGGTGGGGAAATGTCCTGTTTGTGAACGGACTTGGAGACAGAGGAAGAGTGAATTCTCACATGTCACTGTGATGAAAATTCCTTGTTCCATCTGCAGTGTACATACTACCTACCCAGCAAGGGCCGGGCTTCGGGGTCTGGGGAAATTCCCTGGGTGTCATCACAAGGCGCCACCACCCCACGCAGCATCTGGCTCCTCCAGCTTCAGCTCTATCACAGCCCCCGAGGGACGAAGCAGGGTTACCAGTCACTCACACCCAAGGGCAGAAGACGCTCCCGGAGGCGAGGCCTGGGCAGGGGTCTGCAAAGGTGTAAATGTCTCCCGCAAAGAGCCCGACAGCCCATATTTCAGGCTTGGCAGAGCAGGCGGTCTCCACTCTGATGCGTCCATGGAGCAGCCACACACTGAATGAACTGGGCGGCCGAGTCCAGGCAACATTTTATGGGCAATGACACCTGATTTTCATGTCACAAAGCTCTTGTCCTCAGCTCACACAGCTCTGCACAGCCTGCAGAGTCTGCGTAAGGGGAAGGAAGCGAGTGGGAGGGAGGGAGGCCTCTGCAGCAGGCGAATCCCCAGCTGCCCGGCTCTGCTGGCCTCGAGTTCGGGACCAGGAAGCCACTGAGTTTCTGTGCAGCACCCGGCTCTTCCTGGCGCAGCAGAGCGCACAGGGGCCTCGAAAACCATTCAGGAGCAGGTGTTCGGTTCCCAACGGCGCCCACAGGAGCGGTAGGCGGACGGCTGCCGTCCTGAGTCCCCTTGCACTCCGAGATGCAAGGGCTCCTCTCCTCTTCGCCCACCCCCAGGCCCTCGGCTTACTGTCCATCTGTCTGTCTGAATTCACAACGCGGCTCCCCACAATGAACGTCACCACTACATACTGCAAACGGGCACTAATAAAAGTAAAAGATAAGTAAAACAGAAACAGCTCGGGCAGAAATCAGATACTCTTTAAAAAGTAAATAACGCATCGCTACATTTTCATGGGGCTCCCTAAGCCACTTATCCCAGATCTGAGCTTTTCTACAGTTAGAGGAAAGCACGCATCCGCCCTCTCCCATCCCCGAGTCGGGAAAGGACCGGGGATACCGCCGGGCCCATCTCCACGGCCTCCTGGGCCGAGTCCCTGCCCCTCCACAGCCGAGCGTGGACGCCCTGCAGTCTGCTCTGCTCCGCCACACGGAGTTGCTGCGCGCTTCTCCACAGCGTCCTGAGCCCCTTTCCCAGAGGCCCGGAAGAGGGATTTCAGGCTGCCTCGGAGCTGCACACCCGCCTGCCTCCATCCGGGTCTCAGGGCCACCAGGATCCCACCTCACCCAGCCAGTGCGAGCCAGTTGGAAGCCGGCCTCGGCCTGGCCTCGGAACAGCGAGCAGACCCTTCCCACAGGCCGAGTGGGGGCGGGAGACTGGGACAGAGGCCAGCGACTCGGCCCCGAGAAGCAGGGCTGGGCAGGGGCTGAGGAAGAGGCCTGGCCCCACTCAGGTGACCGAGGTCAGAGCTAGGGTCCTGCTCGGTTCGGCCTGCGGAGGTCGAGAGGCTGAACACTATTTAAAGAACATCTGCTCGCCCGGTCCCCTGCCAGGCGGAACAGGTGTGGACTCTGGCTCAGTCACCCAAGGCCTCCACATTCCTGTCCTCTTCCCGACGGTTCGGGCCACGTAAGGGGAACCGAGGGAAGTCTGTCAGACGCTCTGCAGTCGCCTGGCTGGAAGAAGTGTGATAAACAATGCTGCTAACATGAGCTGTCACCCTCCGCGTTCATCTAGGGTTCAATAAACAGGAGGTGGTGGCCAATCTTTATGGGGGGCATTATAAATTATCAATGACAACTCCGGACAGGAAAAGGACGCTTCAAGGTTGGTCTCCACTTGTAGCTAGAAGAGTCTCGGTCTTGGGCTCACCAAAAGGCGCGCTGTTTTCCTCTCTAGTATTCTCGGGTGTCCAAGGTATTGAGTGGGAATGGGCCTTGTACCGCGCGGGTGGCTGGAGGCTGTCGTTACAAATCCTACCACCAGAGGGCACTGCAGGCCCTCGTTTCCCTCCGCGCTGCCCCCAGCCTCCCGACCCGTCCTTGTAAGTGCCCACGCCCGCGCGGCGGCTTCTGCGCCAGACAGCTGTCAGGGACGAGGGACGAGACAGCGACCTGGGCACACGGAGGCGATGCGGACAGGTGCCGAATGGGCACTGTCCCCCACGGCCACTTGCCGCTGGCGATCTCCCTCCGCTTTGTTGTTCCTTTGTGGGCCCCCTTGATTTGTCTTTTTCCCCTCGACACAACACACCCAGTGTCTCTGGCTCACAGATTTCCGTGTGGAGCCCGTGGCCGGTGCCATCCAAGCGATGATGGCTGCAAACCGTTTCAGGCCAGTGAAATAGTTGGACACAGTAGGTTTTGGCAATGAAAGTGCGGAGGGTGGAGAAGGGCGGGGGGAGATTTATTAACCTCTCTCCCCTTCCCTGCAGGAACTTTTAAACAGTTTGTCTCGGGCTTTCCCAAACACGCCACACCAGGTGTATTAATATTTATCCAACATGCTTCTTACATCGCCCCGGTCCAACTTGGCGCCCACGTTAGCTTTCTCCCAAGTGATACGTGTGAAATTACGTCTGCCGTGCTACGCCTCATTTCCTCAGCACCTGACCGTAAGACAGCCCTACGCCTGCCTCCCAAGATCACTTTCAGGTCACATTTTGGACACTGTCATCTCCCTAACTCTTCCGGTAGTGCTAAGAGGTGGAAAGAATCAGCTTCCTTTCAACAGAGAGGGCAACAGGTTGGGAGGAGGCAGGCCGCCCTCCTGAGGTCACACAGCCAAGGCGGGCCAAGGCTCGGGTCTTTCACGTGGAGAAAGGGACGCCTCCTCCCATCCCATCCGGGACCATCAGCCTGGGGCTCCCAGCCACCCTCCCCACAGCCAGGAAAGCCACCACCTTACCCGGGCCAGGCTGACGCCAGCAGGGACCTTGTAGGGCACGTACTTCCTGTAGATGTGGCCCACTCTGGAGCAGGGGATGTCCTCCATGCGGCCCCCGCACATCCACACCTGCAGGGGGAGCGAGCAGAAGATGACGGTTCCGCCTCCCACGTGCCTGCCTCGGGGCTCACAGAACCGCCCAGGGGGCGGACAGGACAGCGGCCCTCATGGCAGCTGTCAGCTGGCAAGCGACATGCCTGAGGGCTGACTAAGCAGTAAGTTACTGAGTGGGGCGGTACTGGAATTGAACCCCCAGGGCCTTCACAATGAGCCACATCCCCAGCCCTTTTTCTTTTTTGAGACAGGGTCTCATGAAGCTGCCTAGGTTGGGATGGAGCTTGAGACCCTCCTGCCTCAGTCTCTGGTTGCTGGGATCACGTGTGCCAACATGTCTGGTTTAAATTCAGTTCGAAGGGACTCTGGAGTCTGAGCTCTGACCTCTGTGGATGACTGGAGTGGTGCAGAGAATTCTGGCCTGCGGGGGTGGGGGGCCAACCCAGGGGAGGAGGCAGCGGCCAGGCTCCAACAGTTCCAGTTCCTCCCTCCCCTCCGTCTCTGCACCCGCCCGTCCGCCTCCTGCTCCTAGCGTCCAAGGAGCTCCTAGCCAGTGCGTACAGCCCCCCTCGGGGACCAGCCTAAACAGAGCCTCCTTAGCAGGCCGGGGTTCAAATCCTGGCCCAGCCGCTTACGCATGTAAGACTGATGGAAGGGTTTCTCTGAGCTCAGTTTCTTCTTATGTAAAGGATTCAAGGTGGGGGGGGCATGAGCTGTTGGTGTAAGTGCCCAGCACAAGGCCCACAGAGTCCTAGTCATGTGAGACACTGTATTCATTTGGGGACGTGACTCCTACTTAGGGGTCTCTGCTATGTGCCACACCCTGTGCGGGGAACACAGCAGGGGGTAAGACAGCCACGGTCCGCGCTCACAGGAAGCCGGGGGGCCAGGAACCCCCAATGCCCTGCTGCCCCCGCCTCCAGGACAGGAGGCTCCTACAGATAGCAGGAGGCCTGAGCTCCTCTTAGCGGGACACTGCAGAGCGAGACCCGCGCCCACACCTGCCCTGTAGTCCCCGGCTTTGGGGAGCCGCTACCGTGTGTGGCACGGGGGACAGTGCTGGCCCAGCCCGAACGGGGCCTGGCTTCAACCCCCAGCACCGAAGAGGAAGAAAAGCAGGGCTGTGAGGCGTCCTCACGGGGAGCCGAGAGAGGCCACCCGTCACGCCTACGGCCCAGGCCCACAGCCGGGCCACAACCTCAGGGCAGACCGGGCCGAGCCGCGCGGTGGAGGCTCACACGAAGGGTGTCCCAGGGGCGGCAGAAGCTGACAGGTGGCGACAGTGTCCGCAGGGAGAGCACGAGGACAGGACGCACTAGTGTGGATGTGGGTGCTGCTTCGCCCCACGAGCTGGGGAGCGACCAGCCGGGAGGGCACCCATGGAGACTCAGGTGGCTGAAGGCGGAAGACAGGCAGGATCTGAGGGGTGAGGGGAAGCCCTAGCACCAGAGCCAGGGCCGGGCGGAGGGAAGGCTGGCGGGAGGGCCGGTGGGGCAGCTGGGGTCCTCACACGGCCTCCGTGGGGACGGGACGGAGCCGGTTCTCTTACACAGCCACCCTGCCATGGGCGCAGGAAGCCGGCAGGGTGCAGGCCGGGGCTGGGCACATCCAGATTTGCGGCCCACAGGCCTTAGCGGGGGAGGAAGGCTGTGGCCGCGGCAGGATCCAGCCGAATCTGGAACATTTATTTTTACTAAGCTTCTGTCTCCTCCGTGGATAAGGAGCAGGAGTTGGGATGCATACAGCACGTTTGTCAAAAAAGGGCCCTTTCTGGGCTGGGGATTTAGCTCAGCGGTTTCGCCGCCTGCTGGGCAAGCGCAAGGACCCGAGTTCGATCCCCGGTGCCAGAAACAGCGCCCTTTCCCACTTGACCCGACTCTGGGGCTGGGCTTCCGGTCCTGGTGAACTGGGCGGGTGGGGCCTGGCGCTGAGGCCGCGTGGTCGGTCGGCTGCCTCCCGCTGTCTTCGTCGGAGCCCCAGCTCCCCATGTGGGCACGTGCAGGGGCCGCAGTTAGCGGAAGCGCTGCCTGAAGAAATGCAATTACAGTCTGATCTTGGGGGAGAACAAAGGACCAGAACATTGGTCTTGAGATAATGGGCTTCTGAGGTAGATTAATGTCAAGGCCAAGCCAAGAAGTCTATTTTCAAAGCAGGAGCTATCGATCAGGGGCCAGCGTCCCATAACAATAACTCTCCCTTTCTCCCGAGTGAGTGACGTGGAAGGGTCCTTTTGTCCACAGATGCTGCCCAGGTCTCCGCTGGGCCTTTCAGTGGGCGAGGGACACCTCACCCTGCTCTAGCTCTGAGTGTCTCCGGGCAGTGGAACAGGCCGGCACCCAGCTCCTGGACTCCGTACTGGACTCGCAGAGTGGAGGAGGCAGCTTCAGCCCTGAGGGCAGGGGAACCCGCTCTGTGCACACAGGGACCAACTTCCAGAGCCTTCTCTTTGGTGTGACGTCTGGACCTTTGCCCTGGCCATGCTGGCCTGCAGCCTGACCGGTCCCAAGGAGCCAGGACGACCCTGACCCCTGGGTCTGAGGGATCCCAGAGGCCCTCAGATCCCGCAGGCTGAGCCCAGGATGCCTGGGGACTGATCTGGAATGTGGGCTCCCTTGGGGAGACACAAACTTGCTCCTGAGCCCTCGGGACCACCAGGCCCCCACCGTGTACCCCACACCTGCCCCGCAGGGTCCCGGCTGGCATCAGAGCTGCCCGAGGGAGGGATCCATTCTCGTGTGGATCCGTGGCCGAGTGTGCTTCGAGGAGGGCAGCCTGGCTGGGACAGGATCCCGAGGCTGGAGGGCAGACAGCGGCCAGGGACAGGAGGGCCCTGACTGGCCTGGGTGGAGGGGCCGCGGCTGTGCTCTGCCCCAGGTCGCCTGCTGCCCCTGAGGCCCCTGCCTTCTTTCACACTCACCACGCAGGCCTCCTGGTGCGGGCGCAGCGGGCGCACAGTGCAGCCCACACCCGGGTGCGTCCTGACGCCTGCCAGCTGTGTACGCGGCACAGCGCTCAGCCCTGAGGCTGATCTCGAGCAGCACTGGGCTCGGTGTCGGGCCCCGGGAAACCTTCCTTCTGTGGCTGAAGGAGGAGACCCTCTGCCACCTGCAAGTCACAGCTTTTTCTTCTGCAGCCCAGTGTTCCAGTCGGGGAAACTGAGGCTCAGAGAAAGGAAGCAGTGCTTAACTGAGCTGTCGCAAAACCTTCCACTGACCAGGGGACTGGCAGCACCAGGCGGGACCAAGTCCCTGGAACCTTCTCGGTCTGGCTACCAGAGGCCCTGGTCTGCTCCCTGCCAGCAGGAAGAGCCTGGCCGGTGGCAGAGGGGAGCAGCCGGGTCTCCCCAACCCAGAACTCGGCGTCCCGGACGGGTCAGACAGCGAGGTGCCTCTGGAAACACAAGGGGACACGGGGCTGCGTCCAGAGGGGCCCCGGGGCAGGCAGGGGCTGCAGCCGAGGAGCCAGCGACTGTCGGCAGTGTGCGACTCCACCCTCGCGTTAGGCCCCGCTGAGGTCCCCTCTACCCGCTAAGGTGCGGTTTTGTAAGGCCGAAAGCCTGGATTTCCTCATTAGCAAAACGGGAAAAATGACTGTGCCTCCGGCCTCCTAGGGGTGGGTGGGGCTGAGCGGAGGCAAGGGGCGTGCGGAGGACACCAGAGCACGGTGTGGTGTCGTCCCCCGGATCCCCCGGATCCGGGAGCGCCTCAAAGGGAAAGCGGGTCATCCTGACGCGCATCCTGGCGCGCGCCGGCCCCAAGGGACCTCACCCATGCTAGCTTTGGGTGTTCCTAATAGCTACTGGGTCCAATTGGTTAAAGGGAAAGTAGAACAGTTTTATTTTAGTTTAAAAGACACCTTTGCTTCTAAATGAAAACATTTTTAGATAATGTGGTTTTAAGCAAATGCGTCTGTAAATTACTACACTAAATATCTGACTATTTCGACAGGATCCCTACGGGATTCCACCCTGGAATGGGGGTGTCTGTCTCACTCGGGGGTTTGACTCATATTTGGAAACACAGCAGCTGCAAGCAGCCTGTGACCTCACGGGCGGCGACTGAGACCAGGCTGCTCCAGGGCTCCGAGGCTCCTAACTGCAGAACCTGGGCGGAATCTGGCCGGGGTCTCCCAGAGCTGGGCAGGCCTTCGACCCCCACCAAGCCGGCGCTTCCGGCTTCTGCCTCTCTGGGCCCAGCGCTCAGCCGGTCTTGGCTTCCTCCGGGTCTCTAACAGCTCTGTTCGGCCTGCAGGCAAAGGGCGCCCTTCCTGGGGCCTCCCACCTCCCTGGACCCCCGGTCCATGGGCCATGAGGGCCAACCACACTGCACTCACTTCTCCGCCTCGGGGCCCATGCGCTGTTCTTCCCGAGCCCGAAGAGAAAAGGTGTCATTCAGTCTCGCGCGACTCGGTCCTGGCCAACTTCACTGTGAAATCGACCAAGAAGGCCGAAGCCAGGTGTCAAGAGGGTCCAACAACGCAGACCCTTGAAAGCTGGGGGAAGGTGCTGGAACTTGCGGGCCAACCTGCCGGTCAGCCCCGCGTTTCCTGGGTCCCGCCACACCCACGCCCTGGGTCCTCTTGGCGCCAGACCCCGCCCACCCGGCACAGCTGGTTGGACTCAGCAGCCTGCACATCCGGGTCACTGCAGGAGGCCAGGCGCTGCCTGTGCCCCGAGCTGTGTCACAGCTGGGCCAGGAAACCCCTCTCGGGACTGTGTCCGGCAGCTCCCTGTCTCTGGACAGCACTGCCAGTTCGGGGTTACCTTCACCCCTTCAGAGGTGAGGAAATAAATGTTCAGCAGAAAGGGCAGGAGAGTCCAGAGGCTCCAGCAGGTGTTCCGGAATCCGGGCAGAACCGAGGCCTGGAAGCTCTTTCCTCTGCTGTCGCCCAGCAGCCACGGCACGCTCACAACAACCACAACCACAACCACAACCACATCACAGCTGCCTGCAGTTCAGTGCCCACTTCTTGTGTGCCAGGCACCAGGATCAACTTCTAATACATTCTGACTAACA